TAACTGAATGAACTGGCGGTGGCCATTAAAACTGCAGCATTTTTTAGGTTATTATATAGTTCTTATCACGAAACTTTTCCTCTATACTTTTGTACATTTGGCATCTTGTATGATAATGCCATAACTCACACGAAAAAAACTTAGACAATACATAGGCAGTGTTATGTTACAGTCCATAATATGAATATTGGGATTGTTTCGGTGGTATATTTTGACCCCAGGAACACGTCTATGAGTTTTTTTTTTGCAAAAAAGATGTTAAAAATCGAACATTTTCTTTTAAATTTTCCTGTATATTTTAGAAAACTTTTTAGAACTTCCTGTTCACCGCAAATTTTCCCCCACGGTATAGTTTCTTAATCTCTGATACGGCACTAAAAGAGATGCAAATACAGAAAAATTGAGGTGGCTCAAATTTAAAAAAAAAATCTATTTTTTTACATTTCCAAACTTTAATAACTCGATTGGACTTATTTGAAACTCGACAAAGAAAATATATTATATTTATTTTATTGAGATCTACCAGCCCTGTAAATATTTGCACTTATAGACTCACCTTGTATAATACATTTTTGCAAACCGAACAAACAACAGATGATTATTAAAATTATAAGTGTCCCAGAGAAAGACATTTCACAATAGTTATTTTACAAATTGGTATTTATGTTTAAAAGCAATTGACGATTATACTCTGATGGAAATTGATTAGTTAGTTATGGAGTTACTAAGGATCTTACGTCAATTTAGTTAGAAGATTAACCATTTAATTTTTGCTAATCTAATCTTTTTTGAGCTCTGATCGGGACTGGCCCACCATCCCATTTTTCCACCGGCCCACCGGGAATTTTCCCGTTTTCCCATATGGCCCATCCACCCCTGGATGTAATATCTCTGCCGCACTCCGGAAATTCAAAAATATCTTTGCTTTGTTGCCTCTTTAGGTAGATAACCGAAGTTAAGCGACGTTAGACGATATAAGTGAATGGACGGGTGACCGTCTGGAAACTCCCTCGTGCTGTTGTTTCATGGCAATAGTGTAAAATCTAAGGTCACACACTGCTCATTAAGATAGTGCTTCAAGATTCAAGGCCGGATGAGATTGGATCTCGTAAGTAAGAGTTGATTTAGACATTCACCAAGTCGGTAGGCCATTGAGAATGATTGAGCTGAGGACCGCGGTTCGGATTTCTCGTAAGCCCTGTCCAGATTAGCCTTAGCAGCAAAAAGGAGACGTTAACTTGAAACACATTTACTTTACTTTATTAAATGTTTTAAATTAGGTCCACTTTATCCTGGGCTATTTATTCCCTACATTTTCGGCGATCCTGGATTTCATGGTGTTGCCTGGTAATATATTTTTCTAATGTTTCTTGGTCGGTAGAGGTAAAGATTTCATTTCATGGTCTTGCCAATATAAGATATGTCATACTCACATTTCTGTATTGAATTCTATCAATGCAGCCGCTGTGGTATGTGATACTTTCAAATTTTTCTTAGCTTATATCATTCCTAAAGATTGTGGAAGCAGTAAATCTATTTAAATTTTGAAGTTCCGTCCAAACTTTTTTATTTTATCAATGATTGTTTTATACCTAAGAGATGCAGAGCAATGCGACAAGCAGTTTTTTATACCGGGAAAACTAGCAGATTTAGTCTTAAGAAAGTCGTTTCACGTTTTGATCAGATTATCATCATTGGAAGAAAAAAGTTTAATAGATGAAGGTTTCCGATTCTTCGAAGATATGAAAGAACAGCTACTATCCATTTTTTCTTCAGCCCATGGTTACCGAAATAAACCACATTTGCAGCAAGCTACACAAGACAGTCAATACCAAATATAAAACTTATAAAAACACAAAAAAAGTAGGTCACACCATCAACCAAACAGTTCTAGAACTATCGTCAACATTTTCAGTTCCGATCGCTTGTATTTAACAAATATTGATAGAATATCTAAGATAATGTCATTCTTAGAAGATGCTCAAAATTAGGCACTACTTTCAAACAAACGTCAAGTACGAATGTAGTATTCCAATCGAAATTTACTTCAGAAAATAAAAATGTAAAAATTTATAGCACTCTAGAAAGCAAAGACGACCTTATAGAAAACAATTGCAATCCATTTATCACAAAATAGATTACATTTGCAACAATCTACACACGGCACTCATTGCTAAATATAGTTGAAGACATAAAGAAATTTTGGCAAATACTAATTCAATATTAAAGATAAAATTAGTCCAAGAAGATGTTCTACATCAAAATATGGTATTGTTTACTACTTTCAAACAAACTTGACTCTGCTTTAGGTATAGAATACCTTTGGTTTGTGTGTCTTTGGAATTATACTTAGAAGTTAAAAATGCTATATTTAATGCCTATATAAGCAGAGGTAAATTTTAAACATCAATTAATATATTTAGGTTTGAAAACTCTGTATAGAAAAAAAAGATAATAGAAATAATTAAATCAGAATACTAATGTATATATCACAAATCCATTTCTATCATAATGAATGGATCGTTCAGCAAACAGCTGATATCAGTTACAATGATATACAATAGAAGCTTTTTGGCATAAATCCACGTACCATATGTCTTGAACATGTTTAAGATTACAACTAAACGCTTTGAACTAATACGATAAATCATATACTTAAATAATTAAAGCGTGTTTAAATAATTAATTTTGCTATTTAAAACAATAGTATATAAAACTGAATAAAGTTTATTAAAAATTCTTTGCCATTTTTCTCGAAATATGAACAATTAAAAAAATCTTGCACGAGAATAAAAGCAAACATTTTAAAACTCGCTAATTATTAGAAAGTCAAAGTAAAGCACCCATTTTGATAAGCGGTCGGCTACTCTTCCTCTAGGAGATGCGAGACCTTGTCGCCTTGTGGGGGAGCTCCTGGTCAGATGCTGGGGGAATCCCCTCTAGCACTTTGCCTGGGTCTAAGGAGCATCTCGATGTCTTGTCTCTGACTGTAGTGTCGCGGTCAAGGAATTACACCAAGACGTATAACAATGCCGGATGGGACTATCCTGTCCGTCATACCAGGCATCCTCTACTGTCTGTGGTCATGTATCACGGGTAGAGGGTGTAGGAGGGTCTTGGTATGGTGGTCTTAATCGCCCGAACCAAGAGAAGACAACCTCATAAAAATCCTAAATCATACAATTAGCAACTGCACTTTGGCTGGGTCTAAGGAGCATCTCACTATCTTGTCACTGGCTGTAGTATCGTGGCCAAGGAATTGCACCAAGAAGTATAACGAGGCCGGATGGAACTACCCTGTTCATACCTGGCATCCTCTACTCAAATATGTGGTCATGTATCATGAGCAGAAGGTTTTTGATTGCCCGAACTAAGAGGAAGCAGCATCATCAAAAACTTAAATCCTACTATTGCAGGACCAGGTCAAAAGGATGCGTGAGTAGATAAAAGACTAGCCTCTACTGGTCTCAACCTCCTACTGCTTCTTGCTGGAAAGCAAGGATGACTGTAGCTTTAGAACGGAATGTTTCTGTATACGCCTGTTCTAAAAATGGATGGATGAAGAGCTTTTTATAACGTAGCCTAAATACTTTCTGAAGTTTACTAATTATTGCAGTTTGGTAATTCCAAATCTTGTTATTTTCGACAACCACTCAAGTCTTTGGAGATATACAATTACTGCAAGGAAAATGGTATTGTTATGTTGAGCATACCACCCTACAGTTCACACAGACTTCAGCCTTTATATGTTACTTTTTTCTGCACTGAAATCAGCATATAATCAAGAATTCAAGCTTTTTATGAAAAATCATCCGTATACGAGAATAACTCACATTGATATGCCAGAAATATTTACAAAAGCTTATTTGAAGGTTGCTGTTGCTGCAAACGCAGTAAATAGATTTAGTAACATTGGAATATTTACATCCAATGAAACCTAGAATATTGAGTGATGAAGATTTCTTTCCTGAAGCTTGTAGTTCAGTGATAACAACCACGACTACTGCTAAATTAACTAATCAGTTTTTGTGTACAGAGAACAAAGAAATGGTAACCCCTGAAGTTCAGGCATTATCAGGATACTCAAGGATAGATAAAGAAAATAAAATAAGTAGAAATGAGAAAATATACGAGCAGTCTGAAATAAAAAGTAAATATTACATTTCTTTATCACAAATTTCACCAAATCCTATAGTATTTCCAAAGTCTAGGGCCATTAAGCGCAAGATCACATGTTTTGACGGCGACGCCGTATTGTGAATGGTATCGAGAAGACGAAAATGTAAATTGTATTGTTAGATGATGAGCTAGATGACATGGAACTTATGGATAAAGAAATTAGTAATATAAGCTAGTATAATTAAAAAAAATTACCCAGCTTTAGTTTTATTGTTTTAAATGGAATGGAAAGAAGACAGAAGACACGACACAAATGAAACTTGCATTATTTGCCATGTATATAGCAAAACGTATATATACACAGATGTACAAATCGTGGAAAATTGGCTCATGAATTTTGTACAGGAGATATGTTTGCGATTTTTGCAACTGCTAAGTTATATTTTAATTAAATGTTTTGCATTTTTACGAAAGTATAATAAGTTTTTGTTTAACTTAGTATTTTATTATTTAAACAGACTTTACTTTTTAGCTCCCTAAAATATTATACGTATTTATTTTTTATGTAAACTGTTGGTAAAATTTACTAAACGACGCGGCGTTACAGTTTACCAGAGCGTCATTACCAAATCATTACCCTACGCTTTCGGACAATAGCGCTCAAACGTACTTTTTGTAAAAATATTTTTAACTTTTTTTTATTATAGTTTTACCAGATTTTATGAAGCGTATTTTTTCAGTAAGATTTTTAGTAATATCCACAATAAAATGGTATAATTTTAGCATGTAATTTTCAAGGAAATTAAGTTTTTCCTTGTCGAGCGTCAATTACCGTCGCTCCCCTAATAGTTAAAAAGGGAAGATATAAAATATATACTTACAAGAAAAATATTTTTGAAAAAACTCCTGCTTCGATAAATGGATGATGTTTAGTTGTAGGTATATTTTTATTTCCATATTTTTGACCATCCATACCTACTAGAAAATATCTTCTTTAGATACACATCATATGTCCCACCTCTCAATACCTATAAAAATAAATTCACTAATATAAAATCATCAACTATCCAGAACAATCTTATTAAACAACCCTGAATCAGTGGATAGGATAGGTTTGTTCCAACCTAGGAACGTTGTACAGTTATGAAACGTTTACAGAACTGCTAAATTGATGATATTAATACTTCCTTGAATCAAGAGTATGACTTTTATACTTTTATACAGGGTGTTTCAAAAAACATGTGCCATCTCTAGTAGAGCTTCCTCTCGGATAAATAAGATTTACTTTTCATACTAACATAGGTCCGATTCTGCTTTGTTTCGCAGCTACAGGAGGTGCTACAGGTTCTTCCAAGTGTTTTAAACGATTCGAATGTAATTTTGAGGTTAAATGTTACCTACTATAAGTGCGACATATTAATTGAATTTGTACTGCTCAAAAAGTTACGACATATTCACCAAGGACCATTTAATGCCGATTAAAACTTTGTATCTACACAAATGGCCAAAATGATTGCATATATCGTTTAAAAATATACGGAAAGAAATTTAAAGAATCTTTTATATACATAGCTTTGATAATCTGTAATAAACATTTTTTTTGTTAAAATGGTTATGGTAAACAATGTTTATCGTTCAGACACAATATTATTAGAAATTCTTGCACATTTCGATTTGTGGTTTCAGAAGAAATTGGACCATTGTTTTGGCCTTAAAATGCCTAGAAACATTATTTCACAGTTTAATAGAGTCAGAATAGTAACACTGTGTCAACAGGGCTACCGTCAAGTTGCAATATCTGAAATTGTAGGAATTAACCAAAGCGATGTTTCGCGGATATTAAAAAAAATCAGGAAGGCAAACGAGGTTACAGACCGGCCTGGAAGAGGTAGAAAGAGAGTTAATACTGCTGTGCCAGACCGTCAAATATCCCTAATTGCACGACGCAATCCCCTGCTTTCTAGTACTGCTATTAAAAATGAGTTAGCTCGCCTTGAAGGAGTAAATGTTTCAAGAAAGACCATAGCAAGAAGAGTCCATGACAGAGGATTACATTTAAGGAGGCCTCTACGTGTTCCGAAGCTTAATTTACAGCTCAAAATTACGCGCCTATAATGGGCTGAGGAGACCAGAGCAAATGGACCTAATTGGAATTTCATCATGTTTAGTGATGAAACAAGAATAGGCCTAGTATCTGGCTCGCGACGAACTTTGGTTTGGAGAGCATTTGGAAGACGAGCACGCTTGAATGCAGCTCAACCCCGTGTCCCGTTTCAAAGGGGAAGCATTATGGTATGGGCAGGTATAATGCACGGAGCTCGAACTCCTCTTGTTCTTATTGATGGCACAATGACAGGTGCCTCATATCTTAGAGACGTTTTATTGTGCGTCCATTTCGAAGGCCAGTGGGGGATGAATTTGTTTACATGGACGATAATGCTCCTCCCCATCGCACTTTAGCGGTTCGCGAATTTTGTGAGGAAGAGGGTATACGAAAACTGTGGTGGCCACCGATGCGCGTCGTCTCACAGCTTGCATTGAGGCTCGAGGAGACAATACAGACTATTAGTTGTGAGAAATAATTAAAATTGTTTTCAATATTTTCTGTTTAAAATAAAATTTGTTTTTGTTGATTTTCACTCATCATGAAATAAAATTATAATAACAGCCTAGTTCCACTTAGTTTTTTAACTTTATATTAGTAGTTAATCGTGTAGTAAGCCAATATGTCCAAAAATATAAAAAGAATCATATTAGGTCCAAAATAAAATAAAAATATCGTTATATGCAATAATTTTGGCCATGTGTGTAGATATTTTGTCAATTTCGATCTATTTAATTAATTTGCCTAATCCAATAATAGTAACCTTTAAAACATTTTAATGTCATTAATTTGTCATAATGTTAACTACTCATTGATTCCTCATCGAAAAATGTAAAAAAGTTCCTATAAACATGGATGCCGAAACGCATAAGATTTAAAATTACAGGATGTTAAAACTTATGTTAAACTTTTAAAAGGTTGTTTAAAATAGACCTTTTGTAATTACCTTTAATACCATTATTTTTACTTTACTTTTAATCGGCATTAAATGGCCTATACACATTTGCTAATAGCAAACTGCTGATACCTTTAATCCTCCAAATTTCATTCGCTAAAAGCTCTTGGAAGAAAATCATAATAGATAAAAAAGATGAAAATTTTAACCTCCTGTAGCTACGAAAGAAAGCAGAATCGGATCCATGTTAATATGGAAAATAAATCTTATTTTTACGTGTGGATTCTCCCTATACTAGAGATGGCACGTGTTTTTTGAATCACTCTGTATACAGTATGTCCCCGGATTGTCTTTACAAGAGGAAAAACTTTATTATTATTGACACTCAAAGGAAAATGCATTCTTATTAAAAAATTTTGCTTGTTCTAAAATGGTTAATCCCGTTTTTACTTTCCCAAATTTTTATACCGTTTAAGAAAAAATTTTAAAAAAAAGTGAAATAATATGGTTGAATCTGTTGTTAGAATAATTGTTGAATTCCTAAAAATCAAAACGCGTTTCTATGATAATATCACTTCGATTTCATTCTTTTATATTTGGTTTTTATCAATTTTTATTAACTATTTTATTATCACCTTTTCCGTATTCCGTAGCACTGAACTAAGTAAATTTTTTCCGCTTCTTTAACATTTTAAGAAAGCCAAAAATACGACACTAATTAAAATTCTATCAATAGCAATCTATCAAAGAATGAAATAGGAATGATATTACCATAGAAACGCTCTTTGATTTTTACGACTTCAAAATTCAACTATATTTTCATGTTTTTTTAAATTTTCCCTAAAACGATATAGAAGTTTGGAAAAGTATAAATGAAATTCACCGTTTCAGCAAGCAAAAACTTTTATGAAGAATGCGTTTTTCTCAAAATGTAAATATAAAAAAGTATTCCTCTTGTAAAGACAATCCGAGGACATACTGTATGTTGCAATCTGAGATTGAAGATTTGAGAGTCCTAATTGGAGACGATTTAAGATTTGAGTGAGTAGACCTGTTCGGTGTTGAGATTTGAACACCGGTGTTTCAGTCGGTGTACCGGTGTTTATCTCTATATCGGTGTACATTTCAGCACCGGTGTTTATCTCAACACCGATTTATTTTTTGTAATGTAATATTTTTAGTTTATTTTACAGCTACGATTTTTTGTTTCTTTATGTTTTGTTTTGTTTTCTATTTGTTTTTGATTATTTTTTTTTACTTTATAGTTGTATATCTGACGCTTCCACTATATTTTAGTGATTAGTCTGGCAAAAAAATTATATTTACATTTGAAAGCTTTAAGTTAAAGTCGGTGGGCTTTAATAAACGATAAAAATAAGCACCGATACGACATTATTATTATCAGGTGTATTTTGAACTTATTAATTAGCATTATTTCTTCTTTAACCCGTTTACCAAACACCGGTGTCGCTATCAAAACCGCTGTCGTAGTCAAAACCGGTATCGAGATGAACACCGATGTCCAGACCAACACCGATGTCGAGATGAACACCGGTGTTGTAGATGAACACCGGCAAAGAATATTATAGTTGTAGTAAGATTATCTTTGACATCGGTATTGAAATGAACACCGGTGTCGGTGTCAACACCGGTGTTAAAACGGTGTTCCGGTGTTTGAAACAGGCCTAGATTTGAAAACAGTTTGGAACAAACCGTAAGGAAAAACAAATCAATGTGTTAAGTATGTTGTAATAAATTGATAAGTACTATGTAAATAGCGATACGAACAAACAGGGATCGTTAATATTGTGCTTGATCAGCAGATTGTGTAAATGATATGTAAAATAATTATGTATGTTAGTAAAAGCTGTGCACTAAGTATCCGAGATAAATATCTCTCAAGTATTATTATTGTTTTTAAATAAATAATTACCTACTTAAATGAAATAAGAGTAAAAAATGAAAAAAAAACTGATATAGGGTTGTGAAATATTATTCAATAAAATATCGCTAATTATAAAATACTAAAAATATTTTCATTCAACGTATTCTAACCCTGGCACTGGGATAAAAAAAGATAAGGCTTACAAAGTAAAAAATACCCAGGGTGTTTCAAAAAACATGTGCCATCTCTCGTGGGGCTTTTAGCGTTTCAAATGTAATTCTGAGGGTAAAAGTTACTAGAAATGCAGCTAAAATAGTGTCGACATATTAACAAGAGACGTGAATATGGGTTATCACTGGAATATTTTTCTAAAAAACGTACGCCACTGACTTTTTTTCTCTTGTTAGCGAAATTGTGTAGGCCGTTTAATGCCAATTAAAAGTTATCTCTTGATATTTTGTCGAATTCGGCCTTCTTGATGAGATAAACGCAATTTTATTAATTTGCCTTGATCCAAGACTAATAGAAGGCTAATAGCAACCTTTAAAAAATACATCATTAACTTGCGAAAAGTTTTAAATAAGTACTCATTTATTCCTCATTAAAAAATATGAAAAAAAAGTTCATATAAACCAAAAACCAAACCAAACCAAAAACAAATTTAATTTTTAAATTAATTTTATTAATTGTGATTAAATAGCGTTTATCTCACCAAGGAGGCCGAATTCGACAAAATATCAAGAGATAAGTTTTAATTGGCATTAAACGGCCTACACAATTTTGATATCAAAAGAAAAAAGTCAGTGGCTCACATGTTTTTTTTGAAAAAAAATTTTTCAGTGATAACACATATGCACGTCCCTGATAAATTTATCGTCACTTTTTAGCATTAAAATTGTAGTACTTATAGTAAATTTTACCCTCAAAATTTTATTCAAATCACTAAAAGTACTTGGAAGAAAATTATAATAAATCGAAAGATTAAGACTTTAACCCCCTGTAGACTGTAGCTACAAAACAAAGCAGAATCGGACATATGTTGATATTAATTATAAATCTTATTTTTACGTGACAAATCTCCCCACGAGAGATGACACATGTTTTTTGAAACACCGTGTATAAATAAATAACACAATTGAGTAGA